TCTTTTCATTTTTTTACATGCATTAGTTTCATTTTATTTTATCATTTATTTACATTTTGATTTTTTTACATCTATGGGTTTGTTTGTACGACAAATAAAAAACAAAAAATAACGCACTCATCTCTGACTCTCACATTTTCTTTCAGGCCCTGTCCCTTTGGTTCCTGTCCATGGACCTCAAGAAGGCAACAGAGCATTGGACAGCTCAGGACAACTGAACATTTCCCGCTCAAGCGGAAACCCTGAACTCTAATGTACGAGCCTCTTCCTCAGCTACCACAGCCTCCAGCGAATCTGTCCGCTTGAATCTTAATGACTTTGTGCACGTTCGTTCATTGGAGTTACCTTTCTGACAGCAGATTCCAACATGCTACAGAAAATGGGAAACTGTTTGAAGTTGCCAGTTTTGCGAGTGAGGTCTTCGATATCTGAGGGAAGAAACACAAATTAAACAGTAAAGCGCCCACAGTGTGTAGCGGCAATGACATTTATTTATACCACTTACACGCTGGATCGAATTCCCCTCTCCACTGATCCGCTGTGACCGAGTCAGAGATTTCCACTATCAGCAAATTCTTGTCCAACTCCATCTTCACAGAAAACTCCACACCTCGAAACACAATGTCCTCCATCACCTCAGAGCCCTCCTCCATCGCCCCGGGTCTCTACTACAACAAATGATTTCATGTGTAAATAAACGGCAAGAGATAAAACAAGTGAAAGGCCTAAAATATCTGTAAAWTATTGAGTTATAGTATTTATTTTAATAATATGGCAGCCATCTAGAATCAAATTGATTTAGAAAGTCAATCAGTTGTAGATGTATATCTAATGGTTACATCCTAGAACTTTCATTAAAATTCATTCAGTGGTTCACCATATACAACACACACACACAACAATACAAATATCACCTTTGACAGCAGGCCATAACAAATACAAGCATTTCTAGTATTATGTGTAAAAAATGTATACAATAGTGGGATAAAAGTTTCTAACGTCTGATTAAACACTAACCCTTGACTTAGAGTCAGATTTGTTACTCTGTTAGCAAAATATTTCATGAAACACTGGGCAAATTTTAAATGACATTTTTAATATTTGAAGTMAACACAATTCAAAATAGCTGCCAACTGTCTGACTTTACAAAACACAAAAAYTGTGTAACTCAGTCAATTTCACCAATACTGGGCTAAAACTGTGTGTGGGGGTAGCTGAGAGTCRTTCACAACACATACTCCCAGCGGTAACAAATTATACAAAGTCGTACAGTACTGCACAAGGTCACACTTAACATTAATTTCAAGCTTTGACCAAAACAGCAATAACTTCATTATAACACATATATGTTTAAAACTCTGCAAAACAATTACAACAGTTCTGTATAGACTTGAACACATTTGCAGTAAAATGTATGTGTTGTGAGAAACACAGCAGAAAATATTACATCACATTGAAAAAGTATACTAGCACTGAAATAATAACATCCTCACGACTGTGTTTATTTCCTGTTTCACCACAGGGGGCGGTAGCGAGCAGAGTCATTTAAAACAGTTATTTATTAGGCTAGAAATAAAGTTATAAAGGATAAATCACATCATAAACAAAGAAGTCCACTATAATCGAAAGATGATTTTGCCTGGCTGGTTTTTATTTCAACTGTTTTGCGTTTTAGTGATGTTAAATTTCACGCTTGGCTTCAATTTTTATCAGTGAAAGTGACGTGAAAAATCAGTGTAAACATCATTTATCACTGACATTAACCAACAAGCACTAACGCTGCTGAGCTAGTTTCTGAAATGATCTTCATACATAGACACAAACCCTACTACTGATTATACTGCCGACATTTAATTTGTTGATTTACATGAGAGGTCAGCTAGCCACAGTTACGTTAGCCCGCGTTAGCTTTGGACTTTATCAATTTCAGTTTATTTAAAGGAAGCTAAATAAGACCTTTTCTAAACCACATACCAGAGGTCTGAGGGCGAAAACCAAGATGTTTGTTACCTCGCGTTTGTTGCAATRATGGCACTGAATGTTGCTGTCACAACATGTAGCTGTCGTCAGAAGTCCGTCAGGCGGAAGTTCGTACCGGGACGTAAATTAAACAGCTACAGGACCGAGTGGTGATGCTTTAAATCCAAAACATTTAGTGATGCATCGGTGAGCACTGAGCCACAAGAGCAAGAGCGCTTCATAACCGGGAACTGTTAAATTCTTCTTCTTCGGGCTCCGCTGCTCTTCCTCTGCGGACATGTTCCTCTGGCTCAGTTCAATCGAGGCTGGCGGGCGGATTACTGCCCCCTGCAGGCAGACAGGTGACACTGCAGGGGGGACAACAAAGCAGTGATGTGTATTTATT